CTATCCTGACTCAGGACCATTTTGGTTTACTCCACATCTTAGTCGCTTGCGCAACATAAAAAGTAAGTTATTTAAAAAATTTAAAGTATGTAATACCACTTTAAATTATACAAAATATTCACAAGCTCGAAGTAAATATAACATTGAAAATTTAAAGTCTTATTCGATTTATTTAAGAAAAATGAAAAATAACTTTCAGAAGAGTCCTAAAAGCTTTTATAAATTTGTATATTCAAAACGTAAAGTCCGCGAATTTCCTAGTAGCATGAAACTTGGTTGCAGGGAATCAGGGGACCACCTTGAAATAGCAAATTTGTTTGCTGACTTTTTTCAAAATACTTATTCTAAGCCTTCATCCAATCATAATGACAACTATGCTTATAATATTAGTAGATTAAATTATTTCCCCCAAATTATTCTGTCTGAGGAGGAGGCTTTAAATGCTCTTCTATCGTTAAAAAGTAGTAATTCCCCTGGTCCTGATGGAGTACCTGCTTACATTTTAAAGTCATGCGCATATGAGCTTTATTTACCTCTAACCACTATATTTAATTATTCTTTGACATCTGGTTATTTTCCTCAAGTATGGCGATCTAGTTTTATTATTCCTTTGCATAAAGCTGATAATAGAAGTGTCGTCGAAAATTATAGGGGTATTGCAAAATTAAGTGCAATACCGAAATTGTTTGAGTTTTTAGTCTCGCGTAGACTAACGCACTTTGTTTCGTCTATAATATCGCCTTACCAACATGGATTTGTAAAGGGTAGGTCAACTGTAACTAATTTATTAGAACTTATATGTTATGTACACAGGGGGTTTTCAATAAAATGCCAAACTGATATTATATATACTGATTTCAGTAAGGCTTTTGACAAAGTGGATCACACATTATTATTACATAAACTTGACAAAATGGGTTTCGCAACATTATTTTTATCATGGATATCATCTTATTTGCAAGGGCGTACACAGAGAGTTTCTTTCAATAATGTTCTTTCTAAACATATAACTGTGTACTCTGGTGTCCCCCAGGGTAGCCATTTAGGTCCTCTACTTTTTGTATTGTATCTAAATGACCTTCCAACGGTTATACGTTACTCTAAGATCCTAATGTTTGCTGATGATGTCAAACTTTTTTGTAATATGGACTCTCACACTAGTTCCCTTAACTTGCAACATGATATCTACTGCCTTGTTAATTGGTGCAGTGCTAATGGTATGACGCTAAATCTCAAGAAATGTAAAAAACTGTCTTTGTTATGAACACAACCTTTTAAAAGTGATTACCTCATTGGTTCTTACAAATTGGACAATGTAGACTTATTCGTTGACCTTGGTGTAATTTTAGACAATAAATTGCGTTTTAATTTGCATATTGATTCATGTGTAAATAAAGCCAAGTCATTGCTGGGTTTCATAAAAAGATGGTCAAAAGAATTTGACGATCCTTATGTGCCTAAGCGTTGGTTCGGCCCACTTTAGAATACGGTTGCGTATTGTGGAGTCCTTTTTACAAAACATATTCTGCTAAATTGGAATCAGTACAAACCCAATTTCTTTTATATGCTCTCAGAGGATTAGGATGGGATATAAATGATACACTTCCACCATATGAGAATCGCCTAAAACTAATTGAACTTCCGACACTGGAAAAGAGACGTTTAATGTTAAGAGATTTATTTATTATAAAACTTTTGCGTGGCGAAATCGATTCACAGTTTTTAACCGGTGAATCGTAATACTCGAAATTACATACCACTTAAACTTTGCTTGGCTAAATCCAATTATGAATCTTATAATCCTATGAGGTCTTTATGTGATATCTACAACAAATTATATAATGAGATATCATTGACAGACCCTGGCATGTCGTTAAACACACTATTTTACATCTTTAGTATTAAAGCAAGTAGTTGCCAGATTCTCTATTCTCTACTCTTATCTGTTATATGTTGTTTTATTTCCTGTGTGTTGTCTTTATTTGTGAATTTAAACAACCGGCTGATGTATAACTGTAGCTGGTTTCCCTAACGTACTAACCCTCCATAGTTCGGACTATGGGGTGTACGCGCTCCCTACGTAATTGGGAGGTGCCCCCCTCGGTCGGCAGGGGCGGGTGAGAGTGGCGTTGGGACCGATCGATAAAAAAAAGTAAAAGTTTTTATTTTTGAAATATAACTGACAACTATTATGTGTTTAGATAAAATCTCAGTCAAAATCATTTTGACAATGAGATGTCAAATGGACTATCATGAAACAAGTAAAAACGAAACTAAGGTCGACCGGCCTCCCTCCACCGTTTAGAAGGAACTTAAAAAATCCAAAGACTGCCACTTAAATGAATGCCGTTATATGGAGACTATACAAAGACGTATACCTGCTTAAGAATTTTTTTGTCATAGGCTGTAGTACCGATTACGAACTTCAAATACGAAATTTGAAACAGTTCCGGTGAATAATGTCGTTAAAATCATTAAAATATGAGGGATATGCGAAAACGTGAGCCCATTACGAAATTTGTTACAATTTCGGTGAATAATGTCGCCAAAATCATGAAAATACCGAGTATCGGGAGGTACCGTTACATGGGGGCTATACGAAGACGTAAACCTGCATACGAAATTGTTTGTCATAGGTTGTAGTACCCATTACGAACTTTAAATATGAAATTTGAAATAATTCCGGCAAAAAATGTCGCTAAAATCATGAAAATACCGAATATCGGAAGGTACCGTTACATGGGGTCTATACGAAGACGTGGACCGACATGGCCCATTTACGAACTTAACCTGCCTACTGGTAAACTATGCATGTATGCAATATTGTAGCCTTCTACCTCAATTCGCTCGTACCATGATCAAATCATGGTACAATAAAAAAAAAGATCATATTTTTGAAAGAAAATCCAGGCATTTCATTTATAGTTCCCGCTCTTTTACTGATTTTAAAAATGAGGAAAATATTGAAAAATGAAAAAAACTTGTTGCATACACATTTGACAGGAAGCGGGCATAGCCTCAGGGCTGTATTTCTGTAGTTTTGCAGCGGTTCTACCTCCGTATTGTACCATTGGTCGAATGTATAAAAATTAAACATTTTTAACATATGATTATCAGCGTAAGATGTAGTTTTATACTGAATCCATATAGCAGATAATGTGAAGATTTGTCAAAATTTCGATACTTAAAGACACAGGAACTAACAGCACTGACGCCTTAAGATGAAGGGTTTAAAATCTCTATTTTATATGTATTTATATGTTATAAATATAAACGTACACGTTTATATTTAAGACAAGATAAAAAAATCGTCTTCATAAGATTTGGAACATATATCTGTTCCTACGTGCCCCGTGCCGAAAATAATAGATTATTTTATTGTAAGTTTTTAAAATGTACTCCACGTCATACGTACATTTTTTTTTTAATTTACAAGATCGAGTTCTTCACCAAATGGTTTGCCATATTCGATTTAGCAAATAAGTCTTCCTCTATTTATTTACCATAATTTGGAAATTATATAGCGAACTTCATCCAAATAGCAAATGACTAATGAACTCAAATTTAAAGAAATTTTATTTTCCCGAAAAAGTATAGTAATCTGTATATCGCTAAGATAAACAAATCAAATTTTGCATATTTAAAAGCCTATTTCACATTATGAGACTCCGGTATGGAGTTGCGTTATTCCTAGTTTCTTGAATATGAGGTACCTTTCTGGTTGAACCATGGTTGTTGTACAAAAGGACTTTCTGTTACCCATGGTACAATGAAGACAAAGTAGGCCTTGGTACAATGATATCAAGGTAGGGCTATGATACTATATGATTTCAATTTTTTTATTTTCTTGGCTTAATATGTCATCTTTATTTGTTTATGTATGTGTTTTCTTTTCAATAACAAAAAAATTGTTCAGAAAACATTCAAATTCGGATGTTTTCAAAATGTTTATTTCATCGTATGCATCGACAAAATCTAGAGTTTTTGTAGCGAAATAATCCTTTAGAGATATATAGAACCTGGTTTTGAAAAGAAGTGTTGACCTTTCATTCGGTTTTCGCGGTTTTCAATTATTTATTCAAAATAAATGCAACAAGTTGTTTGATTTTTTTATTTTTTTTTGATACTAATTCTGACATTACAAGCCAAACAGGTAGACCTCTATACTTGCAATTTTTTTAAAGTTGGCCTACCTTCTCTTCATTGTACCATGAGGTAGGCTAACTTGAAAAAAAGTTGCAGGCTACGAGGTCTACCTGTAAGGATTGTAGTGTCAGAATTACTATCAAAATAAATGCAACTTTTTGCATTGATTTTGAATAAATAATTAAAAAACGCGAAAACTGAATGAAAGGCCATACTTTATTTTTAAAATCATGTTCTACACATGGTACAATAAAGAGGTAGAACAGAATCGTAAAACTAAAAAATACAGATCTGAGGGTATGCCCGCTTAAATCAATAATACACACGCATACACATATAAAGTTCACATTTTAAACCAAGAAAATAAAAAAAAATTAAATCATATGTTAGTTCTGTCTTAACTTGATTTCATTGTACCATGTTGTTACCTTTTTATTTACAATGACTTTTGGAGAGAAACGTCGAAGACGTACGTCCGGTATTACCCAAATCACAAAATGGCCTACAATGTTAATTATTTTTATTACGATATTCATTTTACTCTCTCAATGTTTCACTATTTTCCCAGTGTCACCCTCGATTATGATTTTCTATTTGGATATGATTTTCTATTTGGATATTGACATGTTTATCTACATTGAAATCGACACATATTGACATCACTGTTTTATATTTGTCTTCTTTTTGGTCTGTCATTCGGGAAACAAGGTGGAATGGAACATTTCAATCATTCAAAACAAAACGAGAGTAAAACATTTCTTCAGTTCTTTTGTTGCGGCGTTTGCTGATAAAGTTCGTTCTTGTCGTTAGAAAAGAAATAACTCGAAACTCCTAACGCGTGAAATTATTTGCCATAAAATACATAAAAGTTTTGAAGGAAAATAATTTGTGATTGGCGTTTGATGTTTTCGAGGGCAGTTTTAACAACGAATTAACCAGAGTAAGTTCCCCAAATCAGACTTCATCTTCTTGCTGAGGGTGTGAGAGTATGTGGATAAATTGTGAAAAAAACGACTCATCTTGATTTGGTGTTGTGTTATTAATTTTCATTTCGTACAATCGTTTTTGCTTAGCCCTCATCGTACTATATACGTGGTATTCTGTGCCTTAGTGGATTTCTCACGTTTGGAAAATTTTGTGCCATTCGAACATTTCAATTGATTTTTTCCAAACCTGCATTTTGTTGCCCCACTTTTGTGGCAGTGCATGAATGCATTTACACGAACCTACAGGCATACATACATATGAATGCATGAGTATTTGAACTCTGACAGTCCCAGGCGCCACCCTAGTCTTTTCTAACTCTGATAGAACGAGCATTAGTTGGCCAATTTGTGTGATTGTGTAGCGAGGGCCATTCATTTGAAATTTGGTATGTGTGTCTTCGCTTCTTAATCATGTTTTTTTTTTTTTCTTTTCTAATGTCATTGCTGTTCTCTTCTTCCGTTTGTTGTTTAATTTCGCCTTTCATGGCCTTCGTGTTTCATAATTTGTTGCGAAAATTGAAGACAATCAATGGAATGAAAGCAACAACAAACAACAACATATAAAACCGGCATGTCATCTTCTGCTCTGAGGAACAAAATGGAAATTCCTCGATGAGGGAATGGAACGGCAAACATGACTTGTCAAATGATTAAACGATGGCAATATATTTAAAATACAAATTGCCTTCAATAATGTGGAAACCTTAACTTGAATTCTGCACGGATTTGTATTCAATGTTCTGCTATTTTCTACATTGAGAGCAGAAAGATATTTGGAACTTCAAAAAAACATGAGAGGTGGCAACAACAGCTGATGCATGAAGTAAATACGAATGAAATGAAACAAATTTAGGAATAATATGGATAAAGAAAGTGGCATTTAGGCTGCCGTCGACAAGAAGTCTTTAAGTAGAAAAAGTCACTTTTTTTCAGAAAACCCTTTTGACAATGTCGACCTACATGCAGTTTAATTGCCTCCTTAAAGCAAAGCTAGCCATGAGGCAACATTTCCACTGACTGTTGTGAAAAAGTTGGTCATGGTACACACTTCCCAAAAGGCAAAGATTTCTTGCTTTGGAAGATTTGACATATACTTTTAAATTTGAGAACTTCTCAATACTTTCACACCAGCTCGTGCAACATGGTTTTTTATTTAAACTCAAACTTAAATATTGTGGTAAAGGTTTTCTACTATGGTAAGAACATCTACAGGCAAATGAACTCCTATCCCCAAAGATATCAGCTCGAATTGACGAATTGAACAAATGTATGGGGCTCAATTGTAGTTTAGTAAAAATCCTTTATTTTCGAAAAATTTTGCAGAGGCAGTGACGGTTGCGGTTATCCAAACGTCGAAAAGGCCGCATTATAGGAGTCCACAAAATAAATGCCAAACTAAAGTTGACACTATAACCTTTCCAAAATGCTGCAAAGTGGGTATATCTTTCCTGGATCCGGACATATGGGTCTTTGAACCGGGACAGCCCGCATAGACTGCATCCTAGGCGCACCATTCCCATGTAACAATTAAGACTACTTTCACTGTAAATGGTGTTAGCCGAATTCACAATCTATGGCATTAAGGATTATACGGGGGTATTCTAGGATATTTTGCTATTACTTAGATATAAAACTCAAAAATAACATTTCGTGGAGTATTTTTTATTGCATCTTGTATATTATGTTCTTTGTACTTTGGTAATTAAAATGCATTTTTAGATTGTCATTTTTCTGGGGATGTTTCGAACTGAACGAATACCTAGGTTATGAGAAGTTACCTTTTTTTCCACATTCTCTTATACAATTTCTATTTATTCGAATCTGTTTGTATTTTTATAAAATTTATAACGTGAATTTTATTCTAATGCATAATATGAAAATTACTGTGTTACCTAAAATTCGACCTTTTTCACCTCAGAAGTAAAACACATGTATTTATATGAGAGTTACCCAAATACGTTGTGTGTTGAAAATATAAATGAATATACAAAAAATTTGAACGTTTGTAATTGCCAAATATTACAATGGCGGGAATTCAACAAAGTATCAATAATAAAGCATTAATATTTGGTAGATTTTAAGATATGGACCTGACGTATTTAAGTATAAGCCTATTTCTAGAATTCTCTTTTGAAGACTTGATAAATTACTAAACGACATGCCTTTTAAAACACTTTAGTTTTTTATATAAACTAAACTTTGTTTTATGTATGCCTGATTGTTTCATTTTAAGATATTCTGTCATGTGACGAAAACCAAAATATCTCATTTTTTTATAATTATCGTACTTCCGTTCCTGGAAAAATGCAATGTTCTGCGTTTTGATTCCATTAAAATCTGTTCAAAATAAACTGCTGACTTCTCTTATAATAGTAATGATGGGAATAAAAATTTATACTCAAATACGATGAGATACGTATATCAGTAACTTTGATATATATTAAATAAATGTCGTATATGCCGCATTCACTTCCAGTCATAGTCCATCCCGCCATAATACAAAATAGCTTGTAAAATATTGATTCCGAAAACATGTGTCTGATGTAAACCAATCTTCCACCTCGATTGCAAGTGATCATTATTAATTGTTTTTAGTAAGTGGTTAAGAGTTTTCCTGACCTCTGCAAGTAGTCAGACTGAGCTAACCTTTTGTAGAATTGATTGTGGGTGGCATTCGAGCATTTCGGGGACACCATGTGTGAGAAATAAAACAATATGCACTATTTAATGAAAAGTGCAAATTTCTCACACAAAATACTATATATTGTACTGCAAGTGTAATTGTTGTGCCTGCCGTCTGCATCAGGTTTTGCCGTATAATTCTCTCGTGTTATGTAAGAAACGTAAATCGAGAAGAAAGTCCATAATTTTCTTCAATTTAAATGTAAATTTGCTATGTGCACAATCATTCATATGACTAGATAACATAAATAACAATAAATTTGAATCAGACTTTACTTATCGCACACAGCCGCACACACAAACACACCCATACCCGCGGTGTCATGCACTCACACTTAAGCAAACACGAGATTTTACCATTGAATGTCAAAAATTATATCAACATCACCTTCAAATGATAAAAAAATATATATGCCAAATTAACACCCGTCACAAATTGATAAGCATTTGTTGTAGTGCGAGTTGTCGTCAGTGCGAGTTGTCGTCACAAGGAAAATAAATAATTGTCGAAAGAAGTGTTGTTATTTTAATCATAGAATAGAGGAGGTTCGATAGATATTCAAACTGAGGCAAACCCCAAAATGGAAAATTTCATGATTTGTTCAATCAAAAGTATTTGTAAAAAGCCTGTGATTTCGAGATCAGTTGTTGACGCGATTTGTGATAAACAAGATGTTTACAAATTATTATCAATTTGACGTCGATATGTCCATTCTTAGCGTTACACGTAATAATAACTGATAACAATTTATAAAAGAGAAATCTTTTAATTACATACATTCAGTAATTTCTAAAAATTGTAAAAATGTGTTCTCTCTCCCATACCGCGAACAAGTCAATGAATGTTTGCTACGTACAAATTCAATTTCCCGTTCCCCCATTTCGACGATGACGACTACAGTGTGCAGGTTAATTATTCTGAAATAGCCTTTTAATGGCTTTTAGATTCTTATTTAATTAAGCCAAAAAATAAACAACGAAGGCTCGTGCGTACATACAGTGGTGGCCAAAACATATGCAACAAATATTAGTTTTTTAAGAAGTCCTCTAAAAAAAATATTTTCTAAAGGAAACAAACGGAACTTGTTATAAATTTTTTTAGCTCATTTTATTGGTTAACAGAAAATAAAATTTAATCCATACTTATAACAAAGAAAACATAGAAAATTTGTAGATATTCAATATAGTCTAATATTTGGTTGGTCAAAACATATGCAACCAATCATTGTGTTAAATTGTTTGTGCAAGAATATTAATATTTTGTAGCAAATCCTTTATTTTTAATTACAGCCTGACATCGGCGACGCATGGACGATATAAGGTTGTCAATAAAATGTTGAGGAATCGATTTCCAGGCCTCTTCCAACCTGTTGTACAAAATATTCGTATTTGTACAATTTTCACGATTGATTCTTTGATTGACGATTTCCCAAAGGTTCTCAATGGGGTTTAAATCAGGTGATTGCGGTGGCCATTGCATTACTGCAACATCATTTTGTGCTAACCACGATTTAACAACTCTTGAAGAGTGTTTGGGGTCGTTGTCGTGCTGGAATATCCATCGCAATGGCATCTCATACTCTGCATATGGTAGCATTACCGTTTCCAATATGTCTTTGTACATGTACTGATCCATTATTCCATTAATTCTATGCAATGGACCTACTCCTGCAGCAGAAAAACACCCCCACACCATTACGCTGCCTCCTCCATGTTTCACTGTCTTTGTACAGTATCGAGCTTGGAGCCGCTTATTAGGTGGTCGCCGTACATAACGCATACCATCGCTACCAAAGACGTTAAATTTGGATTCGTCGCTAAACAATACAGTTCTCCATTTCATTTCTGTCCAATGTAAATGCTCCTTTGCAAACTGCAAACGCTTTTTTTGATTACGTATGGAAATAAGAGGTTTTTTTGCTGGGCGGCGGGCTGGAAGGGAGGCATCATTTAGACGTCTGCGAATAGTCCGATCAGAAATTTGTATTGGGAGTGTTGCAGCAATTTTTGAGGATGTGATAAAAGGATCTTTTTTCACTTTTTGGATTATTAAATTGTCCGTACGATTAGTTGTTTTGCGAGGTCGACCTCCGCTGTGTTGTACCGAAACATCCGAATTCTTTTTAAAATTCGCAATAATGCGAGAAACTGAACTTTTATGCACCTTGTATTTTAGTGAAATATTTTTTTGTGACATTCCTTCGGAAAAATCGGCCACAATACGTTTTCTTAGCTCGATTCCGAACTTATCCCGCGCCATAATTAAATATCT